TCTACAATATACTTAGTGGGGTCATTTTTTTTCCTTATGGAAATTCATATATTATTAAGTGGACCATATTGATGTAGCAAGATAATGATGGTCGCAAGGACCAACAGTCTCTCAACTCGACATCTATGAAATGCTTGGCTAAACGCGAATAAGGATGGCCGTAGAAGGGTCGACCTCCAGAAGGAGGATTGAGTAGACTGCGTGCTAACACTCGACGGTCGACGAGCTATGCATGACCGGGCCGCCTCCCTAGATTGGCACGACTTCGAGGACATGTTAGGTCTGCGATACGTGTTAATTTAACCATGGTGGCTATGCAGCTCGGAGCACGACAACTGGCCTAAGGACCTTCGAGATTGGCGGTGGCCTCCAAATACTGAGAGAGCCAAAGAGGCCTGGCTAGGGGTAAACTGAATTCCTCAAATATAGGACATAAGATACAGGGAGATATAGTTAACTAAGAAGGATGGTACGTGTTGGTACAAATTATTTTTTTTACCGAGTACCGAATCGAAAGATTCGTTCTTCGGGTCGATCTCACGAGGAAGGCGGTTCGGAATTTAGCTTCGGTATTGATCACACATAAAAAGAAAATAAAACCTAAACACTCTAATCAGATAAGGGATTGAATAATTATCAACTATGAAAGAATAGAAAGCGATAATCTACCTAAAAAAATAAACGAAATAAAGATGAAGAAGCTAGGGAGTCGGGGATTATTAAGTCAAGTTCTATATGCAAAATCGGGACATTGATCGTTCTATTTCAGATTGACACTCTCGCTTACACATCTAGCGGTTCGCTCCCAATAACTCTTCGTAACAAGAGATTGAACATAGACGAACAAACTCGAGCATACGACACAGGCCAATTATCCCATCCCAATAACTTTTTGTAACAAGGGACGGGTCATCGACAAGTGCGTATTTCTACCCAATACCTCTAGACTATTCGGCTACGAAATCGTCTACCTCATGTGTTTGTCCCATTTTTGTTGCATTTTTCGTGTTTGTTTTATCTTTCTTTTTCCCCCGTTTTAGGTTGTTTCTTTAGTTTTTAGTCCGCTTCGTGTTTTATTATGTGTTTTCCTTCATTTTGAGTCATTAGGTGTTTTTTGTTTGTTTTTCTGCTTTTCTTTTGTGTTTTGTCGTTTTTGGTGTGTAGATCGAAAGATTCGGGCGAATTTTATCTTCAGTAAAAGTTGGTTTCGAGAGCATAACTGGATAGAGGGGTTCGTTAGCGGCGCATAGGAAAAAACAGAACTCAATTCCGAGTTCGGACGAGCTCAAACGAGGCAAAAACGCAAAATGGTGCAGTGCAGCCCAGAATCTCGCGAGTCGCGACCACAAAGTCGCGAGTCGCGAGTTTGGTCGCTTCTCGCGAGAGAAAAAGTCGCGACTCGCGACTTTAACAGAGCCTCCAGCAGCCCAGCAACCCGTCCAACTCGCGACTCGCGAGTCAACTCGCGAGTCGCGACCCTATCGACCCCTGTTTTTATTTTTGCTCGTTTTTACTCGTTTTAGATCCGTTTTTCGTGCACTATATATCAAATCGAACCTCCAGACCTAAGGAACAACCCCCAATATTGTTCCTTTCAATTTTTCTCTCCAAAAACTCAATATTGTTAGGATAATTTTCTCTGCTTTTCTTTTTTATTTTCTCATGCTTGGATTGTTGGACACAAAGACATTTGGATTGAAATCTTTCAAGTCTTAATCCGATTGTAAGTTTTTTAATTTTATTTTATTATTGTTGATTGGTTTTATGTTCTTAATTCCAGTTAACATGAGATTGAATCTAAGCATGAGGTAATCCATTCACATAGGGGTAGGGATTTTGATTCTTGTTTGAATTATGTGGAATGTGTTTTGTTCAATCTATGCGAGTTGTGTGAATTATAGGGTTAGTTGATTGATCACCATTCTAACCTAGTTAATCGACGTTTAGAACCGAGAGGGGAGATGTCGGTCGATTTAGGCTCGTATAGAGAACACTTGTTCAGAAACGTATTGTCTATGTGTTGCTTGTTTGAATGAGTTTATCGTTTATGTATGTGCTCTTGTTACAAAGAGTTATTGAGCATAGCCCTCTAGACGTGTAGGCTTGTTAAATCTCGTAACCGAACAAATAATCATTCAACATAGTTTGAAACTTGATGATATTTTCCGACCCCTTGAACTTCTTCCTCTTCTCTTGAGATTTAATTGTTATTTCTTTAAATTGTTTTTAGTTCTACCTTGTTTTAGTTAATTCACCCAATTAATCGTGATTAGAGTGTTTAGGACTTATTTTCTTTTCGTGTGTGATTAATACCAACGCTAGATTCCGAACCTTCTTCCTTGAGAGATCGACCCGGGGAACGAATCTTTTGATTCGGTACTCGGTAAAAATAAAAATAATTTGCTACAAAAAATTTGGCGCCGTTGCCGGGTAAGGCAAGTAGGATATTTGGTTTTGGTGTTGATCTTATTATCCGTATTTCTCTTGCTCTTGTTATATTTGCTTAATTTTAGTGTTTCTCTTGATTTCTTATTTTCCGTTTC